TAAAATCACAAAAAAATAAATAACCCAAATCGTTTTTATATATTCAACTTTAACTTCGTAATGATAAATTACTAAATGAGTGTATGAGAGTGAAAACCTGGAAACCGATTTAATGATTTACTATGATCGGTTTCCAGGTTTTCACTCTCACGCACTCAAGTACAATAGCTTTTCATCATGATTAAGGCGGTGATTGAAATCAGTGGCTTAACCTGTCACAGATTACGGACGTGCCGTCACAAACACATCACAAACATCACTGCTATATATTCTAATGTTTGCAGTTTTACTCATGTACAAACTCAAACGCGTGATGAACAATCTTCCACTTGCCTTCGACGGTAGATATCTTTAAAAAAAAACACACTGGTTTATTATATTGTTTTTACTGATCCTTTTTTAGAAATTAAAAAGTACATTGAACAGGCTTCGGAAAGTGGTACTGTTCCATCCCTTTCGGGATTCGTCAAGCAAAATATTGATCTAGTAGTTCGTTCTCCTCCGAAAGGGACTGATTTTAATAGTTTAGATGGCACATAAACAAAGCAGTTTGTGACAACTGCAGAAATACTTAACGTTGAGGGAAGTATTAAACGTTGAAGTTTTGTGCATCTATGGTATCCCAGTCAGGTTTCGCCCTGGATCTGTGGGTTGTCAGGTATCGCCCTCGCCAGAGTGATGATGCAGGAAGCTCCAGTCAGGTATCGCCCTCGCCAGAGTGATGATGCGGGAAGCTCCATTCAGGTATCACCCTGGATCTGTGGGTAGTTAGGTATCGCCCTCAACCCCATCATTGCGACGATGCAACTAAACATTTTTTTTTATTAATTACTAGTTATTTCTTTGTTAGATAATCTCTTACTAATTGTCTTTAAATTTTTAAAGATTAAACTTGACGCACCTGATTGGAATAGTATTATCGAAATGCGATATGAGGTATGTTAAAAGAATTGAGTGTAGCTTCTATAAATAATTTCTTCATTATTAACGCGTATCAATATGTGATAGGAACGAATTACAGTTAAATGTCGTAAAAACACATACCTTCTGTATGAAAACGAAAACGAAATTATTGGAAACCAATTATCAAAAAACCAGGAAAATCATCTTGCAAGTCATAAATCTAATTTACAGAATGAAGACTTTGCGACGATTAATGAGAAAGAAATAAATGCCTCTCAGAAAGAACTATCATTAGAGATTGTTGATTATGATGGATTGGTTAGCAAAATCATTGCTCCTGATGGTAATAACCCTTTTTGCTTTGCCTTGTGTTTATCCAAACAAGATCGTTGAAACTATCATTGCTGTGCAGATGGCTATCAAACCCTCCCTCATCAAATTACAAGCAATATATATATTAACGAAATATCAATTGACGAAAATATTTTAAGAATATCAGCTGAAAGTTTGGTGAAACTTGATGAATCTAAGGTATTTATTTGAAAATAATGATTTTTAATGCATACAATAATGAATACTTAATAATTTACATTGAATAGTATTTTGGCGATTTCATTCCACATTTTAAAGAATATAAGGAATCACAAAAAAAGGATCCGTTTTTATAAGTAAGCCCATAAAACTTAATAAATTGGTTTCCATAATGGCCGGGTCAGATTTTATAAAATTTGAAGAAAAAATTTTATGCATATTTACTATTCGGGTGAGTTTTTCAAAAAAAAACAATAAAAAATATTATATGTATTTTACATATAAAAATTTTTGAAAATAAAAATAAAAACCGGGTTGTCGGATCACTTTAAAATTTTTATGTTATGAGAATCAATTTAGTAAGTTTGCATATTCTAATTTAATTACTTATAGCGTATTTTGTAATTTATTGTTCGTTATACCTAATACTATAGATGCACAAATGATGATGTAATGGATATTAGAGGAGAAAGTGGATTTTCGAAATTTTTGTCAATTGATGATTATATAAAATTGTGATTAAAAAATCCTAAAAGGAAACTTGAAGTACCGAAAGTTTGGTGTAAAATTATTGAAGAGTATTTTAAGGTGATTATGTGCTATAGTTGGTATTTGATATTTATAGCAATTATTAAGTTTATCATTTCATAGAAACAAAAAATGATGGAACAATAAAAAGTTTATCTGATTGGATTAATATTACAAAGAATTTAAATATTTTAAGCGAAAAATGATAGTGAAGAGGTGATAAAAATTAAGGAGTACTTGTATCGAGTGATGATTCCTTTGTAAGTCTTGTTAAGGTTTATATTGTTATTAAATGTACATAGTTTCTAATATTATATATTTGCAGGATTGAATCGTTTGCAAAAGCAGTGCCTGATATTAGTGCTCCTAACACCAGTGAATATTATTATTGGGCCAAATTTGGGCATCGTTTTTTTTCCAGAGCATTACAAGAATTGGTAGGTCTTGATTGGAGGGCGTAAGTATAAAGTTTAACTGATTTATTACTATATTATTATTGATGATATTATTTTATATTTATTTAGTATGGAAGTTCCGGTGCATGCCTCAAAATATAGAAAAAATTATGGATATAAACACATTATAGATATAGTTGATGGTAAGTTAGCAGATTTACTAGCATGGATAGAGAAAACGGGTGAAGAAATTTTTGTTGGTGAACAAGCCGGACCACCTACCAAGTGTGATTTAACAAAATTGGCAACAGATTCTTTCAAGCTGTACCGAGAAATGCGAGACTGTTTAAATTTTCGAATCTTACAAGCTATGGTGAAAGGTGATATGAATTATAATAATCGGACTGTTTTTGGAATATTAGGCTATCTTTTTGAAATTAAAATGCTAATGATGTGAAAAGATGGTATATACATTTATGATGAATATGGAAGCTTAACCATTGCTTCTAAACTGAACCAGATTTCAGATATGAAGGGTGATATAATAAGATTATTAGAATTTATGGTAAGTTCTATTTTATAATTTTATAATCATCTTTTAATTGATTTATTTTAATTAATTTTTTTATAGATGATTATTAAAACCGAGGTAAAAAATAATGTGATAGTGGAATATGATAATAATTCTATTCAAATTTTGAAAAGAAAGTTTGATGAGATTACCCAAACAAAACCATCACCTAATAAAGTTGTGAAAAAATAATCTTTGCTAGAGATATATTATTAATTTTCCAAAGCATAGCAAAAGTAAATGCAAATCTATGCAATGTTTGGTTGTTTACGCCAATGAATTTGATTATTTTAGGTCTCATGCATAATCGGTGGTTAGTACAACAAATCTTCATGCTCATTTATTATAAAACTGTTTCTATTTAAGAAAAAGACATTTTTTATTATCTAAAAATAACAATCAGTTTTAAAAAAACCTTTAAAATATTCTTGTAAAAGTTATTTTATGAATATGTAGTCTAGGGATGGCTCCGTGGGGATCCCTAAGGGTTTAAAAGATTATACATAGCAACCACATAAAAATTTGCAGTCCCGTGATGATCTACGCTAAAATTTCATTGGCCAAAAACAAACTGCAAATCGTTACGCATTTTTGATAACTTTGACGTTAGGATAAGGGTGAGTATTAGGACATTAGTAATAAGGACACTACATATAGCAAATTTTGCAAGGAATTTTTTTTGCTAAGACGCAAAAGGTGGTTTTGTAATCAAAATTTTGAGTTATAGATGAGTTTTTAAAAACAGCTGCAGTTTGTTTTATTTTTACGTTACACCTGCTCGTGTGTCATGATTGGTTTAAAATCACATGTCTGCAGACATTTTATGCAATTGCTATATATAATGTTTAAAAGGCGGTTGTGTGTCAAATAACAACACAGCCAATGATTGGCGCAAAAGAATTTTTTAATTGAAGATCTTTTACTAAAAGGAGAAATGATCTACATAATATGCAAGTATAGACAGGTGGAAATTTCAGTTATATTTTTAATATTTTTATTATAAATGCATCAATAATAATACTTTTGATGTATTAAAAACATAACTTTTGTATTATTGCATAGAAATTAAGCATTCTTTGCTACTTTTTGGACAATAATTGGTTCTTTTTATTTATTTATTTTTTTTAAATATTAAGATAAATACATATGATTCAGGATTTTATTAGTAATATTAGTTGGCTAGTATTTGTTGATGTAACAGTACAGAAGTACTTATAAAAAAAATATACAACTATCCACTTGTACAACTTTAGTTATTGTTTAATTTAAGTAGTCCATCTGAAGGTTCTATACTAGTTGTTATATCTAAAACCTACTTGTAGGTTCTTTATTTAAACTTTTGATTCTGTATCTATTACATCTTATCAATGATTTTAATAAACTGATAAAAATATATTATAATTATTAAAACATGTTTAACTTTGTACTAAACCTATTAGTATATTCTATATCTCATACTTATAGCTCACCTGATATCACTTTGGTTTAAATCATCACTTGCAATTAGTATTAATTATTAAACTGTTTTATTCTTGTAAAATTCATCTAAATTTCTAATACTCATCTTTTTAATACCTTTTTTATCATCTTTTACTAACCATTACTTAGAACTAATAGAACTTCTTAGATTTTCAATCCAGATAATCTGATATAATATATCTTAATATTCTTTTTTTTTAACAATTCTAGTAGCCTGGTTGGTCATATGTTTCTTTATACATCTTGTTATATGGTTTATTCACCTGTTTTTTTAGAAATATTTTATAAGTTTTTATTAGTCTAACAATACTATTAAAAGTTCTGTGTTATCTCTTTACTTAAGATTTTCAAATGAGTTTCTAACTCTTCAATTCTTTCACTTTTCATGTCTGGTAATTTTATCATAGGTTTGCATCAAAGTTTTATATAATACTGGTTATTAACATTTTTTTATATAAATATAATATTATACTTAGCATAGATGTCCTAAGTTCTTATTCAAAATATTGTAACTAAAAATTACAGATATACTAATTCAACTGATCAACAAAAATAGTTATTATAATACAGATCTATTTTTCAAAATTTGTTGTTCATATAATTGAACTTTAGACCTGCTACTTAGAGGTTAACAATCTGATCACTTTACTAGGTCATTATACTCTTTCTTATTTTTATTTGCTAAATAATTGATTAATTAATATAATAAAAATTTGATTTTGTTATTAAAATTTACAAACTATATTACTAGTCAATTTATAATAGTTTTTTTAATTCTTATTTATACTAACTAACTTGAATTCTTTCTTATTATAAACTTTATTAATTTATTAATTTTGTATATTTTATTAAAATAAATCTTAACTTATTTATTAATTCGTTATATGAACTTATTTATAATATTTAAAATTATTTTTTATTTGACTAAATATTATTTTAAACAACCTCTTTTTATCTTAATTTTATTCTTAAAAATTTATATCTGAAGTCTTAATTAAAACTATTTATAGCTATAATATAGTTACCAAAATAGCTTTACAAACTATTATTTAAATATTCTTTAACATTAATAATTAAATTTATAATCAAATATAAAAACCTTATTGTATTAACTTTTTTAACTAAATAATAATAATAATATATTTTTTTAAACTTCTAATAATTATAATATTTTTTAACAAATACAACAAACTAGATATCAAAAATGTGATAACTTAATAAAAAGATTGGATTGTTAACTTTTAAGTGATAAATTGGATATTTAAATTCTATCAATAGTAAAAATTTGAATAATCATCTATATAATATTTGTATTACAATAACAGTTACTAATGATCAGATTAGGATACCTGTAATGATAATCATACTAGCATAACTGAAAAGTTATAAAGTATTTGTATAATTTGTTATACAAAAGAATACAAATCAACAAATTGAACAGTATAAATACTAGATAAGTTTTTGTATTTATATAAATTTATTAAAATTGAATAACAAGAAGTTCATTTAAAAAGATCTGAATAGAAAAGTAGTTAGATTTTTGACAGTCTTACTGTAAAAATTAGTTTGGAAAAACAAATACCAAGGTTATAGCACCCAGTCATAGTAGCCAAACAAGCAAGAATCTTCAGATTGAGAGTTTCAGAAATATTACCAACCAGGCCATTAGAATGAATCAGAGAAAAAGGATATTAGGCTGATCTAATATACTGATAGATTGGTTATAGTTCTATATAGGTTATTTAAATTAAAAGTTTGGTAAAAAAACAACTAAAAAAGCAGAGGTATACTAAAGTATCAGAGTTATACTAGATATTAAAGTCTGTATAAACTCTATAAGAGCATAGTAGTTAAATGATATAACTTTGACTACAAATGTTGGTTCTGCTATAGTGATATCTAGATCAGTTATAAAAATAGGTACAAAAGGTTCTGAAGGGTTTAGCTCAAAAATAAATTAGTTCTAAGCTTGAAATAATGATCTGAACATTTGAATATGACTCAGTAAGTTAATACAGATTACAGATTTAGAAGATTTAAAGTAGAACATTTAGAGGTGTTAAATATTGCAATTAGTAAAGAACCTTTAAACAGACTCCTTAAATAGGTAATATAGAAAAGTTATACATATAGCCAATTGTACTCTCTCTTGTAGTAGTTTATTGAATAACATTACCAATAAGTTATTAATAAAAATCAAAAGACCAAAAAGGTTACTTTAATACTAAAAAAAAACAAACTAAATATTATAAAAAGTTATATACAAACTATATATACTTATATTTATATGAATAACAAATCAATTTTATTTATTTATTTATTAATTGAACAAACTATTAGAAAAATTAATATATAATTAATACTTTGGATTAATTATAATATATTTTATAATTATATTCTAATATTACAGATCTAGATAAATTTTAATCACCTTAATAAATTTAGATTATAAATTTTTTTTTTTTTAACCTTAAGCAGTTATGCTAGTATTTTATTAAAATTCTTGAAACTATATATTTATACAATTATATAGAATTTCACAATATCTAAGTCTAACATCACTCAGCCACCCTAATGGTACCTAAGTGCAACCTGCTGCACTATCTTAATTAAAGATAGTGTTAACCTACAAAAACGATCATAACTCTTGAACTACAGACAGAATTCGATGAAACCACCACCATTTGAATCAGCTCACTGAGACGGTTCTAATGAGGTATAGATCATCCATT